GCGCTCATACAATCCAATACTATTCACCCCACTTGACCAAATAAATTACTCCAGCACTTTCTCTTAAGTCAACAGCTGTCTCTCTACTGTACAATTCCCAACATGATAGAAATATGCTGCCATTTCTGCATTAAAAAAATCTCGACCCCATATTCTCCTCTAAATACAGCCCCATTTCTCTATTTTCTTTTTATCACAAAGGACCTCAAAGCAGTTGTCTATACCCTGGTATCTAAATCTTCTCTTCCTGTTTTCCCTAGAACCAATGTCAAACAAGCTTTTGCTCCTATGCGTCACCAAAACCATTCAGTCAAGGATACCGGTAACCTCCACATAGCTTAATTCGATTGCCAAATCACAAGATTCATCTCACACAACTTATATCAGCAGAGTCTGCCATAGTTGATCGTACCCTCCTCCTTCAAACACTTTCTTCATCTGGCTTCCAGGATTCCGTCTACCTCACTAATTTTGTTTTCTCTTTTGCCTTTGTCAGTTATTCCTCACTGTCCTGCCCTCATAATATGGAGGATCGGTCTTTGAACCACTTTTTTTTCTATCTATGCTCTCTCCCCAAGTAATCCCATCCCATCTTGGCTTGAAATACCATTATTTACTGATGATGCCCTAATTAATGTCTCTAGTTTAGACTACTACCTGAACTCTCAACTCTTGTATTTCTAATTGCTTACTGACATTTCCATTTGGATATGTAATAGGCATCTTAACACAACAAAAACACAAACTCTTGACTCATATGGCTGACATTACCAGTGTTTACCAATCTCCAGTTCTCCTCCCCTTCAGGGCACATGAATGAAAACACATGGTACAGCCACATGACTTGTTCTGGAATGTGAGCAGAAGTGCCATGTATCACTTCTAGCCTGGACAGTGAAAAGCCCATTTATGCTTCTCCAATCCCTCTCTTCCCCTGCTGTGGCAACTGAAACTGTTATGTACCACCTAGACGGTGAACCTCTAAGGCACGAGTCCTCAGTGATGGCACAGACCTTCTCACTGACCCACGTGGGACATGTACCATGAGCAAGAAATAGCCGCTACGTTTAGCCACTGATATTTTGGCATTTTTAGTCATCGGAGCATAGTCCCACCTGCCCAGACTGATACCCCCAAACCTGCTCTCACATAACACTCTTCTCCATAACAGCAACTCTGTCCTTTCGGCTGCTCAGTCAAAAATCTTGAAGTCATTCTTGACCCCTCTCTTTCTCTCACACCCCACATCTAATTCATGTGCCTTCAAAATACATATTCTGCAACCACATTTTATTGCCTCCATCCTGCTCTTCAAAAGACACTGGTAAGAGATTAAAAAAACAAGCCATACACAAGGAGGAAATATTTATAAAGCATAGATCCAATGAAGGACTTGTATCTAGAACATATAAAATTCTCAAATCTCATCAACAGGAAAACAAAAGATCCAACTTAAAAAAAAGCAAAAACTTTAATAGACATTTCACCAAAAAAGACATGGACAGCAAATAAGCACATAGAAAGATAATAATGCTCACCATTACTAGTCACTGGGACTTGCAAATTAAATTAAAGCCACAACAAAATACCACTACACACATAATAGAATGGGTAAAATTAAAAAGACTGACAATACCAAGCACTGATGAGCTGTGGAACATGGCAACTTTCATATGCTGCTGCTTGAAATGTAAAACGGTAAAACCACTTTAGAAAATACTTTGGCAACTTCTTAAAAAGTTAAACATATACCTATAGTAAAAAGAAGAGTACTTATGTATTGATAGAGATGGTCCACTTTAGAAGCTATTTAAAGATGATTTATAATTATTTATCAGTGATGCTTCCCTTGGTTGAAAGGCGCTAAAATATACACCTACTAGATGGTCCAGCCATTGCACTCCTATGTATTCCCGAGAGAAATGAAAATATATGTCCACTTAAAGATTTGTATGCAAACGTTCATAGCTGTAAAGGAGAAACTGCCCAAACATCCATTAACAAGTGAATGGCACAAACTGTGGTATATCCATACAAAGTAATACTGATCAGTGATTAAAAAGGAATGAATACACACGATTTTGGTGAATTTCAAAACAATTATGCTGAGTAAAAAAAGACAAAAGAAAAAAAAGAGTACACACTGTATAATTTCATTTAACAAAACTCTGGAAAATGCAAACTAATCTATAGCAACAGGAAACGGGTCAGTGGTTGCGTGGGGAAGAGGGTGCGAGGGAGGCCGGGAGGGACGGACCGAGGTGCACAGGAAACTCGTCAGAGGGCTGGGTGTGCTCACTCTCCTGACTGTGGAGACGGTTTCAGAGGTCTAGACGTAGGTCAAAACATTAAACTGTTTCAATGTTTGCAGTTTATGGTATATTGATAATACTTCAAAAGACTAGAATATAGTAGGCGATCAAGAAATATTTTTGGAATAAAGTAGATGAAAATGAAAACAGATGCTGAGAAAGCAAAATCCTCAGAATGAACTGAAGTGGGAACCTCTAACATCTTCCCTCTCTCGATAGCATTCTTTCCTGAATGATGGGATATAAGTGGGAAAGGAGGAATATGCTGCTACAAAGCAAAGTCCCTCAGTATGAAGACAGAGGGTCTTTCGACCCAGAAGAACCACCTCTAAGTAGCTCCTGACATGGACTCTTCTTTTGTTCCAGTCCCCAAGCAGCGGGATAATTTCTTTGAACTTATTTTAGAAACATGTCCTCATTTCACCTTTGTAAAATCATTTTCACTCGCCATTAAACTTATACCAGCCCATTTTCCACGAATTTATTTTGTTACAAATTTTTTAAGAACTAAAGAACGGTCATAGCAGGTGTCCTCAGGTTGAGTCTTGGATGGAAAGTCCTTTCCTTGGATTCCTTGTCCTCTGTCTCCTAATTTCTCACTGAAGTAGAAAAATCATCATCTCTATTTCAAACACCTCCCTCACTCTTATCTTAGAAATCCTAAATTCCACTCATTATCATTAATTTTAGCATCATCCTAACATATGAATGCACCCACTTCTTTCAGAAGCTGCTATGGTTATGTGTCTTCGTCATAAAATAGAATAGAAAATAAAAGCACAGCCCCCACACAGGTCTAAATAAAGTCAGCCCTATGACTCACCTCATTTCCACCGACTGCCTTGGTTAAAATCACTGCAGAAGACACAGGGGGAGGCATGCAACCTACAGTCTGCAAACTGAAAAAGGAAAAAAATGAAGTTATAAATAGTAGGTTTTTTCAGTCGTAAATAGTTTTCACTATGTTCATTCTAAAATTTGCAGAGCTAAGTAAATGAAAAGAGGAGAGCGATTATGTGCATGCTCTGTTGAGTTTAGACAATTCTGCATGACGCCACATGGCTTAGAGGACACAGCAAATGCACGAGAAAGCTCTCATTCCATTCACAAGCTTCGGTGATTTTTAAAAATTACTTAAGCTCTTATTATATAATTTTTAAAACAGTCAAGTTATAGTAAGTATAGTCATGAAAGATAAGCAAAATGGTCAATCACTTTGAAAGTGTATACAGTCTTAAGTTATTTTCATGTATGTCTTCCTTATCTATTTTGTAGAGTCTTTTGGCAAAAGTAAAATTTTAAAACCACTTCCGAGGTTCAAAAATATGTAACAAAACACAAGCTTACATTTGCTGATTCCTTTCTATAAAATAACAATTGTCAAACTTTCTTCTCATGAAAGACATTTTCATGTTGTAATATCATTGTAGAAACAGCCATGATACAATCATATACTTTTTGGATTCAGATTCTGGAGTAAATTCTACTGTCTATTCTAAATTTGGCTTTTATTACCCAAATTATAACAAAAAGTCTATTCTCTTAGTTTAGGACAGAAAATACATTGAATAACAAGTAAATGGAGCTACATCTAAGTACAAAACGGAGTAAACCTAAGCACTAAAGTTAAAAAAACTTACTCAGCTTTCATACAGAATATACATTCTGGGGATAGTGAGGAGCTGGCCTGACTAAAGTGAAAAATTCAAACAGAATAGAGGACACAGAGTATCTGACTAATATTTTGAATTCAAGATTACAATAATTTTTATTCACTTTTGTAATAATGTATTATCTAAACTTTATGCTATGAATTTACATTAGCTCTGAAATAAGAAAAAATAAATTCATTTGGATAGAAAACATAAGAAAACACCTTTTTATGGAATTTCCAGTTCAAATCAATTCAATGTGGTCTCCCTTTAAGGACTATTTTCCCAAATAATATCAGTCTGTCCAATTATGAATTTCCAATCTCTGAGCCTTCCTTATCATCACTATCATCATCACAAATACTTACTGAGCATTTACTATTTGTAGTAGGTACTATTCTAGACACTTTACTCATTTATTCCTCACAACTATTTAAGATAAATACTATTATTATTCTCATTTTACTGAAAACTGAAGTTAAGAAAGAAGTTAAATAACTTGCCCAAACTCACAGAGTCAACTGTCTAGGGTTAAACTTTTATTCTGGAATCCAGGGTCAGAGACTTATCCTTACTACTCCTCCAGCCTCTCTGCTTTTGCTCTCCTTCCTCTTCCACCAATACTACTAGGGAAAGGGCCTCTCAGGTATTTCCAATTTTTCTAGCTTTTTCATCCTTTCCCTTTCTTCTGGCCTCTTCCCATCTATTTACAAAGAAGCAGATCTCTCCCTACCTTAAAAAGAAAAATCCCTAAACGATTCATGGAATACATATGCCTTCTATAGGTAGGAAACTACACAAGGATGTAAAGAAAAGCACGAGACATCATTCCTACCTTCAAGGTGGCAGAAGACTGAAAACATAAATGTAGATAATGAACCTCAAAATTAGTTGAGTTTGCCTCCTCAAAATATAATCCTACTTTTTTCACTGTGGCTCACTGTTGACCTTTAAAGAGCACTCCACCTCCACGACCCCAAGGCCATTCTCTCTTTACTCCCCTGCCATCTGACTTATGCCCCTTGTACTAGTAAAAGTAGTAACCTTAAAAATAACCAGTGATCTCCTAATCACCAAATCCAACGTCCTTTTTCTCATATTCATTCTCTTTACCTTGTTGCTTCCCAAAGCACTCTATTCTTTTGGTTACCATAGTATCTCATCAATTTGATTTGTCTTTTAAACCTGCCCATTCTAATTTTTTGTTGTCTCTCCTGTGTTTGTGTCAATATTATTTTCATATCTGAATCTGTAAGAACAGTTTCAAATTTACATTTCTAGCCCTAACATCCATTCCTAAGTTTGTAGCTGCCTATAACTCCTACCTCAAACTAAACATGTCTAATGTTGAATTTATATATGTTCTTAAAAATCAAGTTGCCTCTCAATTTACCTTTTGCTGTCAATGGGACAGTTTTTCCCTAATGATTCAGTTTGAAACTTTGGAGTTATATGTGTCAGCATTCACTTCTTACCAATCAATCAATCAATCAATCACCATAATCAACTTTCCCCTCTTTCCCATGACTGTCACCATCGTCCCCTTCAAACTCTTTTCGCCCAAGTCTAGACATTTCCGAATGCCACTGAATGGTCTCTGTGCCAGGTAAGGAGTGTGTGCTCAAAATATATTTATTTCCAATGACTTCACATGGATCCTGACGGGAGGCTGCAGCTCTCTCAGGTTAACATACTAAGTCTGTATTCTCGTGTTGGGGAGGGGAAAGGAGAAAAAGTGAGCTAAGACAGCCTTATCTAAGCGAGTTAGGCTAAGTTTGTACTCCTGAGGTTTAATATCCTGAGCAGAGAATTATATGCTTGTTTTCCTTAGCATACTGAGACTGCAGGCCCTGCTCTACTCTTCCTATACACCCAGTACAATCAGTTTTTTTTTTCCTTAACGACCACTTTTTAGCATGTTCTCTTGTTCGGCACATTTAAGAACTCTCTGTCACCGATAGATTCAAACTCAAATTCCTGAGCCCAGTAGTTCCGGCCTTCTGGAGACTTTTTATCTTTTCTCCCACTAATGCCTCATATTTTAATTCTCTACTTTAGGAGTACACAATCCTTGCTGAAATTCTTACCCTTTAATTTATTACATCATTAATCTGACAAATCATATGCTGCCCCATTTTGCTTGGTTACTATTTTATATATATGTCTTACATATCCCGCTAAATTGGAAGTTCCTTGAATAGAAGCAAAATAAGTTAACACTTTCCTATTTCTTGAGTGCTCTATACATGGCAGATACTTGGTAATTATTGGTTCATAATACGCATCATACATTGTTGCTCTAAAATGATGTCATTATATTTGTGGCTTTTTATGCTTTTTAGTAAAATTTTATGTTCATTCTCTCAAACTCAATTTGGCCAAAACAGCACTCTTGATTTTCCCCTCTCATCCTAACTTATTTTTCTCTGGCTAAGTAAATGATGCCACCAATTACCCAATGGCTCATGCCCCCAATCCAAAAGTCATCCTTGATTCCTTCCATATCCTATCCACCCATTGGTTCTGAGAGCTCTAATTTAAAAATATACCCATCACACATCCATTTCTCCCTACTGCACTGCTACACCATACTAGCCTCCAAGCTGGTCCCCTGGCTTTCTCTCAGGCCTTTCTAGTATCTATTCTCCACACAGTAGCCATGAGAATCATTTGTAAATATAAATCGGATAATACCACTTTCTCCTTTAAATCCCTCCAGTAGTTTCCTGTAACACTCAGAATAAAATCTGAATGCTTTACCACAGCCTACAGGGCTCTGAAGGACCTGGCTACATTTCCACCTCCAAGTCATATTATTCATCCTGTCTGTCACTGAGCTCTGGACATCATGGTTGCTTTCCTGAGTCTAGAACACATCAGGCTTGTTCCTGCCTTGGAGCCCTTGAACATTCTGTTTCCATTGCCTAGAACATTCTGCCCCCGCCCCAGAACTCTGCAGTCTAAATTAATCACCAGCCTGTGCACCCGACCACCTTCAACCATATCATATTGTTTACCTCATATCACTTATCTCTATCTTGATCATCTATTACTTGTTTATTGACAATCACACACAAAACTGGCTCTTGGCCAATTTTGCTCACTGTTATTTTTCTAAAACCTATAATAATCCCTGGTACATAGTAGGAGCTAAATAAATGACTTAAGTGAGTGAATTAATAAGTGACCTCAGTTGATATCCCCAACATTGTTATTAAGCAGGCAGTAAAAGTGTGATTATCCTCATTTTATGGACTGGGATACTGAGGTTCAAAATTATTAAATGCCTTTCCTCAAAGTCACATAGCAAGTTAGGGACAGGGTCAGAATGCAGTCTTTGGGCTTTAAGTGTTTTAGCTATCTTCCATGATGCTAAAATGTGGTTAGTTTTAGACTAATTCAAATGATCTTTAAAAATCATTAAATCCTCTTAATAAACATGGCAACACTTTTTATGGGAAAAAAAGACTAACAAAAAATATATCTGTTGTTAATTCAATTATCTTATCGAACTCAAAACAGAACAAGTGAAAAAGTGAAAAACTATATATATAGTTTTTTATTTCCTACACATTTTTAAAAGCATGTATTATACTCAGCTATTATTACTTGTATATATTTGGTAAGAAAAACTGCAAAAATTGAAGTACCCAATTGACAGCCTACATTACACACATGCATACAGATCTTACATCCTCCAATCCCTTCCATTTATCTCCCGACATAAATCTTTTAAATTCCTAGAAAATTGTCCATCCTAGAATCTTAAGATCAAGCATATGGGTATATTTTAATATTCTGTTATAAAATTCTTGAATGAACCACCTTCATAAAAACATTATCATTTTAAAAGATAATAATAATGTTAAGTGTTTTGATTTCCTTGTAAGATATAACACAAGCTCTTTTGTATATAGTTGCCACAGAAACAATAATGTTACTAGAGATACCCCATCAAAAGTAGAACCTTCAAAATATTTAAACATACCCTTTTAAAAGCCATTCATTGATGGGTGTGATTGATAAAAGCTGAAGAAAAAGCCATATTGTTGCTGGGAAGAATGCAAGTGTAAAGATCTGAATGAAAAGATGCAGTCTTACATGCACCAAAGCACTGGTCAGCTCCTGCAAAAATGGACATGGAATAACAAAAGTAAGAAAACTACTTCTGAAGAGAGACTGCTACTAGCATAACATCACAGGAATTAGTTTTTTAAATTGAGATACAATCGACATAGAACACTGTATGAGTTTCAGCTATATAACATGATGCGATATTTTTATATATTGCAAAATGATCACCATAATAAATTTAGTTAAAATCCATCAAGTTGAAGTTATTTTACAATTTTTTTACTATAAGCATATGCATGAGACAGACTTTAATTAAAGTTATTGAGGAAGATTATGAAGTTATTCATGAAGATTATGATTTTTATATAAAATTTCTAAACTATTCTAATTTCTTTTGAATACACAATACACAACAACAGTTCAGATTTGTAAAATTCTGGACCAAGACTAAGCTAACTACCTTTACACCAGAATAGATTTGAGGATTATTGACACTATAAACGAACAAGTATGTTTAATTACATAAAAAATAATTTTGCTTAAAAATTTTAGCAGGACCTATCACATTTTAATTAAATATGATAATTCACCAAAACTAGTGAGGCCTCAGTTTGGCAAGATGTTACTGAATCTACACACAAATCACAATTTTTTAAACTGTTTTCCCCAACATTCTATAATTCACAATGGCTTTTTCCCCAAAATCTACTCACTAGATTTCTTTGTTAACATTTACTAGATATCAGCTATCTGCTATGCTCTGAACTTGCTACTTTATTTATGTTATCTCATTTAATCCTCATGACAACCCCATTAGGTAGATATTATTATCCGTATTTTACAGATGAGGAAATTGAGACTGAGAGCTACTATACAGTGAAGATCAGAATCAAACCCATTAAATCCACGCCTGCTTCTTCCCCTGTGCCATACTGCTGCCGCGAGAGGGAAATAATTCCCGCGAAACATGACAAACCAGACACACGTTATGAGTCTCACAGCTTAAAAAAAGATTCTAAGCTGGACTTTGGGGTTTAACTATGTACTAACAAGCATCTGCATTTGAATTTCTTTGACTTATGTGCTCACTCAGTGAAAATAAAACAAATACAGAAAGTAGTAGACAATTTATATAAAACATTCAGGCAGTCATTAAAGCATATTCAAAGATGCCAGAGATTCACTGGTTAGAAGCATAGCACTGTAGTGTTAGGAAGACATTCAAGAGATCCTCAGCCTCGAGACGTTAACCATAGTTTATAGTTTAATAAACAGTAGGTTAACTCGGATTCATTCACTGATCACCACTTTCTGAGATCTGTCTCATTGGCTCTCACTGTTTTTATCTCCCTGTGTGAAGACACACAGCAGTTCCAGTTTGGTCAGAAAGCGTTCTTGATGACATCTAAGGAACTTCTGGCAATCTGGGTCTAATGGAGGGCAATTGGGAACACTGAGCAGACCAGAGGCCTTCTAGGTCCATGGATCAGAGCTAAGAGAAAAGGAGCCATTCTTATCCTGAATTGGAAGTTTCACTTCAAAAAACATGAATATCAGCAGTTCCAAGAACTCTTAGCAGTCTTGAAACCAAATCTCACTCAGGTATACTTAGAGGCATTCAATAAATACCAATAAATATCAGTGTTTTTTATTTTTAAAAATTATAATAAAATGGTTAGCCAGAATATCATAATTAAGGCATCTACATATATATCTTAGATATATAAAACAGTATAAACTTTTCTGAAAAGTAATTTGGGAATATAGATCAAGGGCTATAATAAAATTTATATTCATGGACCCCAAAATTTTATGCTTAGGCATTTATCCTAAGGATATAAAAAATGATTACAAGCATTCATACATGGAATTGATCCTCACAGCATTACCTATTACGGTCAAATCTGGAAACGACTTAAACATCCAAAGATGAGAGACTAACTAAACAAACATAAGATGAAACCGTGATAAGAGCTGTTAAAAACCATGTTAAAACTGTCGACAAGGATGTAGGAGTACAGGGTCTCTCTCTCCTTAACCAATAAGACTGTAAATTGGCATAACCTATGGACAGCAACATGCAACTCATTTCTTCATTCAATAAATATTTATTTAGCACTGGCCGCCATTCCAAGGACTTGGAATATCTATCACAACTTAAACTACAGGTATCATTTGACCTAGCAATTCCACTTCTAGGAATTAACCCTTCACATATGCTCCCAACTGTGAAAAATGGCATATTTTTAGGTTATTCTTTGCATCTTGTTTCTAATAGCAAAACCTTATAAATTACCCAAATGTCCTTCAATAGAGGACTAGGAAAATACATCATGACACATTCACAAAATGGAATATTTTTCAGCATACAAAAAGAAACAGAGAATTCTTTATGTGTTGATATGAAATAATCCCCAAGATATATTTTTTGAGTAAAATAAGGTAAGGTGGTAAACAGTATAAAATACCTTAGTTTAAAGGGAGGATATTTATGTTTTCCATAGAATACCTCAGGAAAGGTACACAAAAACTGTTAGCATTGGTTGTCTCCACAGAAGAGAACTAGTTATCTGGCAGAGGGGTAAAAAGAAGACTTCTCATCATACATACTTTTGTACCTTTTGATTTATGTTCATAAAAGTAAACAAAATGTAAATTATTTTATTTTAAATGTACATAAAGACAAATTAAATAAAAGTATTAAATTATATGAAAAATTATTATTATACAATGTCACAGAAAAATAAGATTATATATGTGTATATATACGTATATACATATGCAAGTACGTATATATATACAGTTACATATATACAATTTAAAAAATAGATTTTCTATATGTAAAAAATATATTTAGAAAAAAAGACTAAAACACACAGAGATGTTAATAGTTATTTTTATTCTTTCTAATCTTTCTTCAGTGAGGAAATACCACTTTTGTAATCATAAAAAGTTATAAAAAATAAAATGTAGTTAGAGAATACCAGCTGACCTAATGAATGACAATTAGAAACAATTGATATTACATCAAAATAATGGAACAGTAAAGAACCCGGCGAAATGAATCATGAGAGCCTGCTGCTCTGGGTTATAAGGGGCCTCTTAACAACAGGGAAATAATAGACATGAAGTGTTTCTAAGAAAGATACTCAAGACTGTCACAAAAACCCAGTGTTATGTAAGATCTTCTTCATATAACCTTAATAAGAAAATAAGGTAACACTGGAAAAGAAAAAGCAAGTAACACGAGGAAATCCAAAATAGTATTCTTCTATACGTAAATGTAGAATTTAGGGCCACATACTGAAATAAATGCCATCATGAATAATTGAAAAATTGATCCTGCATGACATTTTGTTTATTCAACTTGTAATACAAGTCAAATTCAAAAAAACTTAAGGAGATACTCCACATACTGATTATACCAGAGTCTCACTGAAAGTATCAAGAATTGTTTAAAATTAGGGGCTCTGACTGGGATCTAGAAATATTTTCATCACATACCAATTTCCCTTCTAACCCTCATTTGGCCTTTATTTGATTCAGTCTCTGAGAGTCAGCTTCATAGCTCTGTGCTGGAAACAAGTAGCATGAGACCTGAGTTTAGAATTTACTATATTTACTTCTAAGCAAACAGGATTTTAAAAAGTAATCTGTTTAGAAAAATAAGGAAAAACCTGTATATTCTGCTCTACTCGGGACCCTTTGGGGTCCTGAGCACAGTGCCATGTCATCATAGCCACTTGATAGATGTTTGTTTAAATGGTCTGTTAAGTGACAAATCCTTTGAAACTGTAGGTTTGAAGTTAGCTAAATACAAAATATATATCAAAGATGATCTTATTTCACTTTAGTACAACAAAATTTCAGAAACCATTTCAACAGGTATTTTAGAAGATTTAGCACTAAATCTTTTTAGCATGAAGTTTTAAGTTATTTATAATTTCAATAAGTGAGCAAAACAAATTTTAGAATACACATCAATGTATTTTATAATTACATCAATATATGGGTAATACTACATGAAATGTCAATATGAATCAAACTCAAATGGAACCACTGTAAATGCTCAAATAAACTCAAGTCAATAATAATTTACTGTCTCCTGTGTGCAAAAATGCGCTAGGACCTAACAGGATATGAAAACGGTAGTCCCAGCTGAAATTAATTTAAGATTATTAACTAGAAAACAAATAAAAACAAGATTGCTACCTTCTAATTTACAACTGTTCAGTTGCCCAGGAAATTAGCAGGGCTTAGAGATAGTTTAACATTACACAATGATGCAATCTAGGGCATCTTAAGTTAAATGGATCTTGAAAATGACTTAATGTATTAGTTTCAAAAGGGCCTTTCATGGAGAAAATTGCTTTGATGGCTACTTAGATACTGTAAGAAAGCACAGAATCAAGGCATTTCACCATTAGATCCAAATTAGTTGGATGACTCTGAAGGTTTTCCTAGGTGCTTAAGGAAGAATTCAGTCCTTAGAGAAATGCTGATAGCTGTGACATTCCTTCTTCAGCTCCTGCATCCTATGAAGTTGGCTGCTTTACAGAATAGCATTAAGAAGCTAAGGAGAGAATCAATTCTCTTGCCAGATTTCCCATGGCATAAGTAACAGCTATAGCCATTAAGCAGCCACCAGGGGATGTAGTTAGAGCAACACCCCAAGTAGAGGACTTGAGTAAGGCAGCTGCTCCACCAAGAGCATTAGCCAAGGCCAGCAGGAAGACCTTCAAGGATGATCAGACCAGCACCACAGGAGTAGCAAGTATCTTTGTCTACCATTGTATCTCGCCTTTGAGAACCAACAGAACTCTGGTGTTGATGGGAAAAGACTGTGCCCTCTAAGCACTAATCATAGCCCTTACATATCAATATAATTTCTAAAAACTAGAATTTGACATATTTAGGAATTCCTATCCATGGCAGTTATTTTCAGAAGACCAATAATCAGCAAGAATATTTAGAATTCTTGAGACACAATTTATCTGTCACAGACACTACACATGAATCCAATCTATACGGAAATGCCCTCAATAAAAAGATTTATACCAACCTGATAACTACAAAATACATAAATTTAGTAAAACCATATTTTTTCCATGATGATAAAAAAAAGAAGGTAAACTAAATTTAGTCTTCTTTCAAATCACATTTAAAAGAAAGAAACTTTAAATAAAGGCAAGATAGGATGCAGAAATAGAATTTTAAATTTTAAAACCATTTCCAAAAAAAAAAAAATCTTTCTTATATAGTAAGATATCCCTATCTGTATAAGAATAAGCATTTTAGAATGAATGACAACTTTTAAAACTCTATGTAATTTCTTCAAAAGCAAATGGGGATTTTCTGCTCTTTTTTCTTCCATTATAAGCCAAAAGGAAATCATAAATTCTATTCATTCTTATCTCGAATGTAAAAATGTCTGGATTTCTTTAATTACAAGGAATCCCATGTTCAGTGACATTTGGATTAGTAAATAACATTACCTGTATGTCTTCATGATAGATTTTGACTTAGTATGAAAAATACCAATATTTCTCTTAAAAAATCTATTACTAGATATACTAACAAAGAATATACTTTAAAAATATGCAAATTAATTAAAAGTTATAACAAGTTATCACTTGAGCAGCGTGAGTCCTGGGAACAAAAGATGATCCACAAAGTTATGGAAACGAACTGAACATCAACAGCTTAAATGTGGCACAGCAGTTACCACCATAACCTGAGGAAGACCTGAACTAGATGCTTCACCTCAGTTGCCATATTAAAAACTTACTCATTATAATATCCCCAGGGGCCATGCTGCTCAACTGTAGAGTTTCTATATTATGTAGGTACAAAACACAAGTCTTCTGCCTGAAGTCCAAATGATCTTGTTATAGTGAAGCCTTCAGACTATAGCTACACGTGGCTTCACAAAAGGATTCTGATCTTTCAAAATATTAAGTACAGACTAAATTTTTCTCCTCGCTTTTCATGTGCCCCACAGGTGACAGTACCTCTGTTTTTAATGATAGTCCACTGTTAAAGAATATTGTTGCAACAGCAATGTAGGAGACAGTTATTTCTGGCTTCAGTGGTCCTAAAGAGAGAGAAATGAGTTACTGTTAGAATTTCCAGTAGATAGCTGGGTATAAAAGACAAATTCATTGGAGAAGGGCAAATGGTACTTTAAATCTTAGTGTTGGTCATAGTAGACTACTGTCCTCACAGGGTTAAGCATTTGCTGTGATGCAGTCGAATTCCAGAGAGGAGTTTCCAGAAGGCAAGGACCATGGCTGTCCAGCTCAGCAGTCTCCTTAGACCAGAAGAATAAAAAGAAACTCAAAAATAAACTCTGCTCTCACGTCAACATCCTTCAAGATAGGTCTTCATTATATCTTCCACAGTATCAGTGCCTATATAACAAATAAAATTCCCTAAACCAAAAGGAGAGAATCAATGGGAGAAGTTCCCTTCTCTTTAGCAAATATTATTTTATTTCTTCTAGGATACCAGAAACAAAATGTATTCATGCATACATTCAGTTCTCTCCAAGAGTATTCGATCTACAAATATTTACTGAGCACTTAACTATGTGATTGAGATAATGTAGATAGAGTTATAGAGTACCTAACAATATGCTGTTAAAACTGTGATTATTATGAAATTGTGCCTGGGCATACTGTAGTGAACCAGACAGGCTGGATCTTTGTCCTCCAGAAAATCCTCTCTGGAGTTAGGCTGGCATCATCCCAGATGCATTAACGTTATGAGTACAATAGGAACAACCCTAACATTTATCTATTTTTGTGGCTTGTACACAATTGGCTTAAAGATCTAATGTGCTAACCACCGAACAGCATTCTTATAAAAGATATAGTTCTGAAAAAATGCCATTTTATACCTACATACGAGTAATTCTCCAGCAACAGCATTTTTATCCCCCATTGACATTTGGCAATGTATAGAAAGTTCTTGGTTGTTATAACTCAGGGGACAGGGGGTGCGACTGGCATCTAGAAGATCAGGAATTTCGCTACATGTCCTGGAAGGCAGAGGAAAGCTGTCCCAACCGCAAAGAATTATCACGTCCAAAAGGTCAGTAGTACCAAGGTTGAGAAACCCTGGCAAACACAAACAGTTTAAAATCTGAGATCATCTCATATTTGACATTCTATTCAGCCTTCTTGTGCTGGGCTGCATAGTATCCCCCAAAATTCATGTCCACCCAGAACCTGCGAATGTGATCTTATCTGGAAACAGGGTCTTTACAAATATAATCAAATTGAGATGAGGTCTTCTTGGATTAGGGTGGGGCCTGATCCGATGACTGTGTTCTTATAAGAAGAAGGAAATTTGGACACTGTCACATGCAGAGGAAACATGCTCAGGTGAAGGCAGAGGCAGAGAAAGGGGTTTTATCACCAAGGAACGCTGATAGCCAGCAGCTACCACAAGCTAGAAGAAGCAAGGAAAGAATCCTTCCTTCAGTAGAACATGGCTCTCTTGACATCTTGATCAGACTTTAGCCTCCAGAACTGTGAGAAAATAAATTTCTGTTGTTTTAAGTTGCCAGTTTGCGGTAATTTGTTGTGGCAGTCCTAAGACACTAAGAAGCCCTTTAAGCAAAATAACAGGATGTATTCGTGGCTCCTCTGTTCCTTGTAACTCTCCACCATATCTACAGATATTTCTCAATTCCAAGTTCAGGAAAAATCACCATTCATTCAGTCAACAAATATTTACTGAGCAGCTACTATATCTTAGGCATTTGTAGTATATCAGTAGATAAAAGAAATGAAGATCAAATTCTCTTATGTTCCAGGGCCTCCTACAAGAGACCTTTTAAAATGGTAGGAGGAATTCATTCTAATTTGGAGAAACCTAAAGCCCCTTTGAGACACATCACTGAAATGCTAATAGACCACTCAACTCGTGAATGTGGAACTAGAAGTCACCTAGGGCTGCAATAAAAACTCGGTGAATATTTGCAATGAGGTGAAAGTTGAAACTACAATAAAAAAATGATATCTGGCCCTCTCCAAGGTAACGATTATATCCTCCTCCTTACCAAAATAACCGGATCTAGATCTTAAGATGACTATAAGGCTAAAGTGGAAATATAAGTTTTAACTTTTCCTTTAAACAAAAGCAAAAATAAATGTTTATCATTGAAAATGAAATGAGGTAGCAAAATCAAAAGACAAATTGACTATAAAAAAATGAAGCAATTTCAGAGCTCCAAAACTCATCCTTTTTAATGGCCCAGGGTGGGGACAGGGGAAGGGGGTGATCTGGAACACTTAAGAATGCAAGGAATTATTGCCATTTCATAAAATCTATTCATCACTAAAGTAAACTTCACTTCTAAAACTAATCTAAGATATTCTTGCTAATATACTTAAGTTTATAGCATGTTTCTGATTATGATTTTTTTTTTAATGGAAAAACAAAGCAGTTTCCTTCTTAGGATTTATGTGTTATTACTGGGAATAATTTAAGATGCAGGTAGAAATGAGAAACTTATTCTATACCTCCAAAAAAGTAAAGCTTTCTCTTCCTGAGAATGACTAGCGCGGGGTTGAATTACAGTAAACTCTAATGTGTGCATAGTTCAAGGGCTTCTCTGGGTCACAGTGGGACAGATTATCGACATCTCAGAATCTATACACATTTACATCTACTGTGGCTCTTTATTTTCAACCTTCTTCTATATATTTAAAAATTAAATGTAACTGAGTAAAAAAATCCGTGAATTAATAATTAAATTACCTAAGCTAGTACCCATTATACTTTTTACCATTTGGAAAGTCATTCAACATCTTTAATTTTAGGATTCCCACATTTAAAAATTCCCTACCATACATAACTCACCTTTTTTAAAGGGAGGTTCAGATCATAGGTTGATACTTTAAGAGAAGTCTTACACTAAAAAATAAGAGTGTATTCTTTAAGGTATTGACCCAGGTAAAGGTGAAGTAAGCATCTTAACAAATTGAAGACTACCAAAACTTTTCCTACTTAAAAAAATAAGATTTACAGAATCCATCTCACATATGTTACTGGAGGAAAGCCTTAGGGAAGTGATTCAGCATTCCACAACCCTCTTTCCACAGAGCACCCCGGGAATGTAAGATAAAAGGTATTTTACCAAACCCAGGCCCTGCTGATCTAAACTTAAAGATCATACAACCACCTGTAACAATTTCACCTTAACATGGAGCAAATAAAAGATCTAACACCGGAAGCTATAGTGTACTAGTGAAGCTAGTAAAGTGTGCATTCCAGATCACCAGAGACACTCCCTAACTTTCTTAGTACCCAGCTAACTGCAGGAACAGGGAGTACTCATTTGACAGAAACTGAAACATCAATGTTCACAAGCTTCCCAAAAGCTCAAAGAGAGGCTGTGTCAAAGAAGAAACTGGTACCTTCAGGGAGAGAAACCTCCACAAATAACAGCTTTATTCTCAATGATATATCCTGCACATTTTGTACTAAGCTGAATATAGAAGAGGAAAAAAAACATAAACAAAAAGTTTTAATCCCTACAAACTTTGTTCAAGTAATTCCTTCTAAATGTTCCCTGAAGCTGCTTATAAATGAAGGTATTGAAGGTAGACAGTAGAAGGAACAACTGTTCTTCTGAGCAATCATTTCATTCATTTCCATCATGTTTTAACAACAAAGCACAAATAATTTCAAATATCCTCCTGAGCACTTCCTAACATAAAAAGATTGTGTGTGCTCACTTCTCTCCTTATCTGTCCCTGTTGTATGACTGAGGTAGTAAACCTATCAATACACATGGAAACTGACAAACAAGGCCAAAAAGACAATGAATTGAAGAAATTCAGTTAACGTTTATGAAAAGTGGGGCATGATTGTCTAAGGGATGGCGGGGGCATAAAAGGCTATTGATATTTCCAGTCATTTCCACCTATGCCCATTCCCACATGACAAGGCTCCCACTATTCAGATATTTGAGCATGATTTTGGTTCGCCTACATTTCTTTGCCAAAATACACACTACACGTACTCTAACACAGCCTGTCTGTTAGGCTGCTAAGTGAAGCAACTGAGTCCCAACAGCACACGGAAGTGGTGTTGTCCTGTAATGAAAATGTGCAACGTGTCAGTCAGCTTGGGAGTTTCTGGAGCAGCAGCAACTGCTACAAATCATCACTCTCCAACATGTGGGCCACAAAATCTGAGTTGGAGGAGGAAGAAGTGTTCCTTGCTCTTTTTCTTCCCCCGCTTTTTTTTTTTTTTTTTTTTTTTTTTACGGCGGGGGGCGGAGGGTCGGAAATAGACAAGGTAATGGTGTCTACTCCAAGACAGATAGATAAGGACCTCTTGGCAACCTAGCATCCCGTGGGACAGGATGTTAGTTTCAGGGGAAGAGAAATAAGTTTCATTCTCAGCAACCGGACTCCTCGATACTAAAGATACTCACCGATTATTCGCGGCAGAGGTAACCCGCGTTCTAAATCCTTTGCCCCATTCCTAATTACAAATCCTCTCCGGGGCTGGCAAATTAAAAAACCAGCGAAAGGGCCAAAAGACACTCTGGGCTGATCGTGCCCCTGAGAGAGGCAGACCCTTCCCAATTACGGTCTCCTCTCCTTTCCAAGACTCGAAATTAGTTCTGAAGTGGGAATCGCGGTGGAGCGTGCGAAGGAGTAGACTTACCCCCATTCACCCCTATGGACGGCTCCAGCTTAGCTCCGGCGATCGCCAGCACTATTCCAATCATGAACCATTCTTTCCTCATTCTCTCCAGCAGCCTCATGTTTGTTAGGGTGGGTGGGTTTTGTTTATTTGTTTGGCTTTTTTTCTTTTTAAGCTGCGATCGCTTATTCCCCAGGGCGTCTCCACACTTTCCACGGTCTCTCTTGACATGCAGCAGAGCAAGTCAAATTGCTACTTGTAAAGTGAAGACCGAGGGGTTGCTCAGACGGCTTCGAGGAGGGCTGGGAGTAGTAGTATCCAGTGACAGGAAAGCCTCACTGAGCGCCGCCATCACTACCACGCACCTCCTAATAGACGCACACACGACCAGAGCCAGGCCAGCCTGCGCTGGAGATCGGGAAAAGGAGTCTGGCCGCCGGGTGGGGCTGATGGACTCGCCACTTGCAAGACCTGCAGAACCTTAGGAATGACTGGGACAGGGAGGAGCGTGAGGGGCCACAGACACCTAGCTTCATCAAGGGTTCCTCTTTGACATACCTTTAGGCACAAGCGCCCGCGCCCCTGGAGCACATCTATGGACAGGCTCTCTTTGGCTTCTACACGAGACTGCGGGAAGGGCTAGCATGTACTTCGGGCAGGGACTTCTCTGTCGACAGCTGCGGCGGCGAGGTGCAGAGGTTTTTTTCCTTTAAAAAAAAAATTCCTTTTTTTATGCGCGCTTCTTCGAGGCATTACGACGCTTCCCCGACGCCCGCGTTGACGTGTGCGCGGGGGGGAAGGGGAGGTCACTCTCGGTCTCCTAGTTCCCCGCCAGAGCCGTTGGAGTTAGAAGTCCTCCGAGATCCGCACGGAAAAGCGACTCCGTCGTGGGGAGAGCTTTAGCTGCAGAGATGGGTTGAAAATTGGGCGCCGAGCAACGCCTAAGCCCACAGGACCCCTGCCCTCCAGCGTCCCCTGTAGCCCGCGAGGCCAGGCAGGACTCGCTCTGCCCCGAGCCGCCTCACTTACACCTGCCGGGAGTGGGGAGGACTCTGCGAGGGTTCATACCCCCACTGGGAGGTGAGAATCAAACCTTCCTTCGGGGCGGTGGGTGAGTGCTCAAGCTTGACCGGCAGAGCTTGCCCACCCAAGCAACAGGACCACTGTGGGAAGGGGTCAGGGACCCCGAGGCAAAAATGAGGGGCTGGCTGAGTAGAATGGGGCTCCAGCCTTCCATTGCCCCATGTGCTAGATTCTGCTGGGCCCCCAGTTTCTCCTTTCAAACGTTTTCTGGCAAGCGGTGACATTGATAGTTTAATGAATGAACTTCCCCATTATGCACCCAAATAAAATACTGCGTGACATTTTGGAAATAGTCTGATATCTAATAGTTAAATGTTTAACTATGGAACTTAAGGTTTGGAAGGGACTTCTGAGATTGTTCAATGATGCCACACCTTAATTCCGAGAATACTGAAAGATTGAAAAAGACATCCTCTATTAATTTAGCTTTATCCTGATGACACAACTTGTCCAAAAACTAAGCAGGTTTATGCAGTCGTGCTCCCAGTTGAAGGTTACACAGTACGAGTGTCATCTAATTATATATCAGGTAGAATAACAAAAGTGAATCTCAAGATAAAAAGAACTTAATAGGGAAACACAGATGACATTAAATAGCCTGAAAAGAGGAAACACATGAGGTATGATAAAATCTGATGTTAATTATCAGATAGTCAAAAAATAAGTGGAGATACATGAAAGATAGTTTACAACACAATTATATTCTTAGAGTAATTTCTCACTTGGTTAAAGAATCATACATCTCAGTCATTGAAGGTGTGTTCTTGTATTAAAAGATCATTAAACATTATGCTTACAGAAATTGAGCCAGTTTAACTTTATGGCTGTTCACATATTTACTAAGAACTCTTTGATCTGCTTATAGCAGAATCTAATTCATGGAAAAGTTTTGTTGTCAATGCTAATTAAAGGAAAACAATGCAGTGCACTGTGACTTCTGTTATAAGGCCCTATTAGCTTCCCATAGCTGCTATAACAAACACCTATAACTAGATGCCTTAAAATAACAGAAATGTATTCTCTGTAGTTCTGGAAGCCAGAAGTCCAAAATTAAAATACTGGCAAGGCTGTCCTTCCTCTGGAGGCTCCAGGGAGAGACTTCTTTCCCTGCCTATTCCAGCTTCTGGTGGTTGTCTGCATAACTTGGCTTGCTTTGTATGGCCACATGGTTCCACTCTCTGCCTATTTCACATTGCCTCCTCCTCTTCTGTCTGTGTCCTTGTCTTTTCTCTGTTTCTTTATTATAAAGACATTTGTCATTGGATTTAGGGCCCACCCAGATCATCCAAAATTATCTAATTTTAAGATCCTTAATTTATCTGCAAATATCCTTTTTCCAAATAAGGAATAGTGTTTCCCAGATATTCATGTCTACCTGGAACCTCAGAATGTGACCGTATTTGGAAATCAAGTCTTAAAGATGTGATTAGTTAAGATGAGGTCATACTGGATTAAGATGAGTCCTAAATCCAACAAGTAGTGTCCTTATGAGAAGGTCATGTAAAGACTCGCAAAAGAAACAGGAAGAAGAGAAAGTCATGTGAAGCTTGAAGCAGAGACTGGAGTGATAGGTCTACAAGCCAAAGAATGACAAGGATTCAGCTTGGAAACCACCACCAGAAGCTGAGAGAGAGGCATGGAACAGCTTTTCCCTGGGAGCCTCCAAAAGGAGCCAACCCTGATGACACCTTGACTTTAGAATTTTGGCCTCCTGAACTATGGGATAAGAAATTTGTTGTTGTAAGCCATCCAGTTGGTATTTTGTAAACGCAACCCTAGGAAACTAATACGGTACCATTCACAGATTCCAGAGATCCTATGTGGACCTATTTTTGGGGCGGCCATCATTCAACCCACTACAAGGCCCTTCCTGCCTTCTCGTTTATCCGTTACTCTCTTTCTTCAATAATTCTATCACTCTTCTATTTTTTCCTATCCATTTTTTTCTTTCCCCTGCCTCATGACCTCGATTTTTTCTTGTTACCCCTGCCACTATACCTGACATTCCAGCCCAACTGTATAAGTGAAAGCATGCTTCTTTAAAAGACATATGATGCTCTTCATTCAATAAATATTATACTTGTTTATTGAACAAATATTTAATGTGCCTCTACACTGTGCCAGGCATGTGTCAGTGATTTGTATTCAGTTGTGAACAAAAAAGACACAAAACCTGCCCCCAGGAGCTTATAATCTTGTAGAGGAGACAGATAAAAACAAATATATAATTACAAATTGAGATAGGAAAAGAATAGGATGTCGTGAATAATCTAGATTGGGGAAGGCCTCCTTGAGATCTGAAAGGTGACAGGCAAGTGGGAGAAAGTTACTGCTCAGCAAAGAAGAGCCTGACACCTTGGAATTCAAAGGCCAAGGTAGCTAGACTGACTAGTTAGTGAAGGGTCAGTGAAGGGACAGCGAAGGAAGAAGGGCGGAGAGCTAGGCAGGGCACAGATCATGTGGGACCTCTCGTGTTGTGGTAAAGGGTTTCGATTTTATTAAATACTATAAGAAGCCACTGAAGGATTTTAAACTAGTTAGTGATGACATGTCTAGTTTTGCTAGAGAGATTACTTTAGAAGCAGTCTCAACAAATAGTTCAGGAAGAAGTACTAAGTCAATGGAGCTGGAAAAGGCGATTAGTGTAAGAACTGTTAAACAGGAAGAATCAAAAATAAATGACCAATCATCTTTAGGGGAAATGTGAAGTCTAAAATGACTCCCGGAATCTGTCCGATAGGTGCCAGTACCATCCGCTCAGCCAGGGAATCTTTACAAAGTAGATTGGGGGAGGAGATTATAAAGTCAGTTTATATCTTGTGTTCAAGGCCAATGGGACATGTAAATAAGTATGTCCAGGAGGCAGATAGAATGGAGGCTTGAGCTCATGAAAACAGAGCTTCTGTAGCTCTGGGGTTCTTCAATAACAGATAATGGAAAACATAGGCATTAATGTGGCAAATATTTACTTTTAAGTTCTTACTTTGGTTAGTCAATCACTTTGAGTGTGGCTCATTTACAATATTTATGAATGTTTACTATGTTCCAAGAACACAGGTATATCTTATGATTGCTCTCATGGACTTTATGTTTAATAAATGGAGATAGGAATTCTATCTCACTGACCTGTTGAAAAGACTCAGTGGGATAGTGTATGTGCATTGCTTTGCATAGAACAAATGCTCAGTTATTTATTCAACAGTTATTTATTGAACAAAAGCATTATTCTAGATATTGGGGTTAAAAGGGAAAATGAAAGACAAGATTGTAGCTTTCCTTGTGTGGTCCAATAATGACATTAAAAAAGAAGTACTGCTAAGTGCCATGATAAAAATAAAAAAGGTCACGTGATAGAGTAACAAGAAGGCTACTTCAAGTGGTCTGGGAAAGTCCAATAATATTTAATATGTTCACCACACTATGCCTGGACGCAATAGGTGTTGTGCTTGTGAGAGAGCCTTCCTGAGTTTGGTCAGCTCTAGAATGCTGACAGGGTCAGACTTCTGAGCCTGTGAAATTGGGAAACAGCCCTTGAATGGCAGTGAACCCACCACAGTAAATATCTTCTTAGTGGCTAGCCAGGTGGTCTTCTTCTGGTAACTTCCCAGCCATATTTGGCCATTCAAACAACAAGAAGTATTATTTTCCTCATTTTACAGATATGAAAATGAAGAGAAGGTAAAAGTTTTGCCCATGACCAATAAGTGACAGAATCAGTCTTCATACCTAGGTAAGCTTGACCTCAGAACCTCGGGTAGTGGAATCCCAGGCGGTATATCTTAGTGATTAAGAGTTTATTTTCAACTATCCAACTACCCAGGTTAAAATACCAAGTCTACTACTTACTGCAATACCCAAGTGACTCTGGGAAAGTCCCTTGACATGGCCTCAGTTTCCACATCTGAAAATGGGGGATAATTGTGGGCTATTATGATGAGTAAATATATCAGAAACTTAACCAGTGTCAAAAATGTGGTGATATTGCTTCTCTTACATCTTTGGTGAAAGCTTTTCCTGCTCTCTTGAGCCAGAAATAATCTTTCCCTCTTGTGTGTTTCCTCCTTTGTTGTAGTTACCATAAAGTTATCTGTGTACGTACTTTCCTCTGACTAGATCAGAAGCTTCTCAGGAATAAGAGTTGTGAGTTTTTTCATTTTACTGTCATGCACACCAGCTAACATAGTACCATGAGATAGAACAAATATTTGATAAATGATTATTGGCTCAAATGTTGATATAGAATCAGAGGG